CAATCCGCACACGAGCCTCTAGCCGCTATGCCATGGCAACTCCCATATGTGTGTATATATATATATATATATATATATATATATATATATATATATATATATATATATATATATATATATATATATATATATATATATACATATATATATATGTGTGTGTGTGTGTGTGTGTTTGTGTGTGTGTGTGAGTGTGTGTGTAATCATAAAACACGAATACAGAGAATGATTCAGAGGATGTACCAAACAAAAAAACACAGCCTCAATCACTTTGGGATATGAACCTGTCAACTCCAGGAAATGACCATGGCCCCTAAAAAGATACACGTACATGCGACATGCAGCCCACCAGCAGCTAACTTGCAGTCCAGTCAGCCACATACCAAACAGCTTCTAGAAGTGTCAGCATCGGACTCAGCCTTCTTGTCTCAGGTACGAAAAGGTTGAATCAAGGGAACAGAAATACCAGCCGCCTGTTTCCCTCCGTTTAGTCTTGATCTCCTTAAACTTTTCTGATTAGGACTTTTTTTTTTCTTACGGTACGCAGTACCCGCACCTTTGTTAAATGCATTATTTGTCAGCGCTGCTGTAGTAGACACTATATGGTGAGTACAGCAACTTTGTTTGAGACACATTTTGTTGAGTGCTGGCATTGATTTTTTTTTTAAATAGAAAAACAAAAGTCCTGTCTAAAGTACTTGAGTTATAGTGACCACAAAATGTAATTGCCCCGTGTAAACTGAAAGGGTAGATGTAAGATAATATGGTGGTCACGTAGGTCCCAGATGTGGGTTGCTTCTGTCTAACTTTGTGTGTGTGTGTGTGTGTCGGGGAGGGGGCGGGGAGGTTGAAACGCCAGGGCTAATCGTGGTAGTGGAGTGTAACCTTGAACTATTTACACATAAAAACCCGTCAGCCAACTTGTGACAGGTGTTTTATCCTTGATGGTTGCTTAGGGGTCCTTCAAGGGTAGTCTTTCATAACATATTATTTCCATATCTTACACAAACACGCACGCGCGCGCATGCACACAAACAAAGCACACTCTCGTCTCTCTTTCTATCCCCTTTTCGAGGTGCCTTTCTCTGGCTTTGCTCTCTCATCTCTTTTCTTTGCCCCACCCCCTTCTCTCTCTCTCTCTCTCTCTCTCTCTTTCTCTGCGCTGCATCCCTCTGCATTCTCGGGTATTTCTCTTCCATTACCCGATCCTTTGATCATTTTTGTTTCACAACAGGAGCTGTTCGAGTTCTCGGTTTTTGCATTTCCGTCCCTATTCTGGGTAGTTTAATATTAAACGACCCCATCTCGTCACTTCGAGATTTGGTAAAGAAAATGCCCAGAACGTCCTATAGCAGCGGACAGCAAAACTGATTAGTCAAGGCAGCTAAAAATCAGCAACAGGACGATGAAAAAAAATTTTGAGAGCCACATTTCATTTCAGGAACTGATCAAGAACCATGTTTTACGGAGTCAAAAGCGATTTGTGGTCAACTGGGCGAGCCGCACTCACGTGGCTAAAGAGCCGCATGAGGCTGGCGAGCCGCGATTTGCCGACCTTTGTTTTATAGTAAACAGAGAAGGGAAGGGGAAGTGGGGGAAAGGAGGATGGTGGATTCGGGTTAGCAGTAGTCGTTACTCATTTTACAGTAGCCTTAACCCTTTTCTGCCTATATGCGATCTCTCGTTTTGGGTTTATGGCTAAAAGTAGAGGCTTTATTGGATTCCTGGTTGATAACGACTGGTCATAACGCTCTGTTTCCTGTACCCTACCCCATTTTCCCGTTGCGCTCTCTAGTCAAAGTTTGAATAAAGTTAATTTATCGTTTCTCCATATTGGCCAGACTGCAGTCGTCCCTACGTTTAACGGTGTTTGTTGTTACTTGTGTAGTTCGGCGTGTCCACGAAACAAGCAAAAACAATGCATACTTTGACACGCGTGCTGTGTTCCCAGCCATTTTTGACAGGAATCAATTATTCCAGCTGCGTATCTTAAAGACTAGCACGCCCGGTGTGTCGGCGTTATGTCGGTGTTGGTAATACTTCTCTTACACAACCTTAGAACCAGGGCCTGGTATGATCAATTGCTCTTATCCTGAACAAGACCAAGTACGAAATTCACAAGACATGCTTAACAGCCGTTAGTGTAAACAAAGGCACACTTTATTAATCTGTTAAGTGCATCCTCCACTTCTTTAGAATATGGGTATTGGGATATTCTACTCTGCTGGAGCGTCTCAAGTCATTAGGGTGTCCTGTTAAGAGTATACTGTTAGTGGAGCGTTCATTTGAAAACCGTTCGTGCGTAATTGCGTGCGTTGAATGCGATCATGTCATAATCGTATGATATGTACTAACCAGAGAAAAAACATTCGCGTGATTATCGTCTCATGCTGCATAGATTCTGTTTCTGACCGTTAAGAGAATGGCCATATATATATATATATATATATATATATATATATATATATATATATATATATATATATAATCCTTTGTGTCTCCGTTAGACCAATCCTTAGTGTCTCCGTTAGACGCATCCTTTCTGTTTCCGTTAGACGTCAAATAGGACTAGCATTCTATTCCAACACTCCGCTCTGTCGCCTGCAACTCTCAGATTTCTGACACAGAGTTCAGCCCAGCATTTGTTGCCTCTTGTAATAATGTTCTTCTTAACTGTTCCCTTGGACGTCCTCTTTCTCTCCGACTGTTTGTTTCCCATTTCAGTGCCTGTTTGTGTATGTGTGTGGTGTGTGTGTGTGTGCGCGTGGGTGTGTAAAAGACCAACAGGTAACATAAATAACAGAACGTGCCTCCTAAGAGAAGCAAGTCATTAGTTCTGATATTATATTGACAGTTGGTGTATTGGTACCTCTGTTAGTCTCTGTTGTGACACACAGGTGTGTGTGTGTCTACGTAGGTACGTATGTACGTACAATCATCTGACTAACTCAGCACAACAATTGATTCTTCTTTGCAACAAACTGCACTTATTCTGTTTATATTATTGTTGTTGTTGTCACTGTTGTTGTTGTGGCTCTTCTTTCTCTTCTTCTTCCTCTTTTTTTTTTCTTCTTTCGTCTGATCTACCTTTTTTTTGTGTGTCTCATACTTTTGCTTCTTCGGTGATTTTACTTTCAATGGAGCAAAGACACTCCACCAGCCTGAGCTAAGCTCTTGAATCCTTTGCCATCTCGCGTTGCCCCATTTTAAATTTCATTTATTCCATTTCTAATCTCCATATTTGTTCTTTGTTCTCACTTTTGTTTTTAAACTTTGAACTTATTTGATTCCAGTGGAAGAGTATTCTAGTTGTAATGATTTTTTTTTTTTAACACTTGTCCCATCCAGCTCCAGCGTTTTTCCGTCATCTCTTGATTCGTTGGGATTCACCTAGTTCCTAAATATGAAGCAGTCTGTAGCTGGCGTTTACATCGATTATATTGACCCCATTTGTTAACTTCTTGCACCTCATTTCTATATACGAAGCCACAGTCTTGTTTGGTGCTGTGCAGGTTGTGCTCTCTGAAATATACTTTTCAGGTGATTTAGTACAACTCCTAGTCATGTGCAACTGTTGCTCTATCATGTGTCTGCATGTACATCCATGAGTTTGTTATTGCACAGCTGACAAAGATTGTTTAATTCGGCACGACTAATATAGATTTGAGGTGAGCAGATACCGACTTGTACAATCACATTTGCCCACAACATAAATAAACATATGGGGGATCTAGCAACCTTACATTAATGAACAGTTATGAACCTCGTATTAAATTCAGCAGACCTACGAGTGTTTGGCAAAGCTCAACGAATAAATAAGCGAGAATGTAACAAAGTCTATGTCTTGAACAACTCCAGTGTATAGGATAGACCAAGGAGGCAGAGAGATCATGAATAATGATAACTTACAGAACTCAATTTTGTTTGCTCGATGCAGAGAAATGGAAGAAAATGATTGCAGTCAAGTGTCATATAAGCTAGTATTAAAGATAATAATGATTGATAAGCTAGTTACGCTAGTTAGTTATTTTGTTGGTTAGTTAGTCAGTCAGTCAACAGACCATAGACAAACATATCGAACAGTTCATTGAACTATACTTCTGGAAGAGGATTTTAAACTTATCAGAACCCAAATTGCCATATTCATATGTGCAGTATACATACTTGAGATAATCTTAATTTAGTAATTTGTTCAAAACACATCGACAAGGAATGTCTGGCATTTGCCGAAATGCTGAGAATGTTTGATAGGATCGTTTCCCGTAGGCCTATGTTTTAATAACTTGTTTTAGAAGACTGGTATGAGAAGATCTGCACACACATGTACTCGGGCGCTCACACACACAAGCGCGCACACACACACACTCGCATAGAGAGAGACAGAGAATGGGAGAGAGAGAATGAGAGTATGCTCTAGATTACTCTATTGTTAGAACTGTAAAATTATTATATATGCATTTAGGTATATGTCAATGTATAACAGCAGTTAAAGAAAAAAAATATGTGAAGACTGTTTAGGATACAGTCCACATACTTACTGAATATAACATTTTAAATCCTGTTAAATATTAATTGTGTGCAGGAATGCAAGGCTAGGGCTGCCAGTACATTGTTGGTTGTCGTGCTACCCCCAAATTTTGTCCCACCGAACGGCATCCAGTGACTGGTGTGGTCAATACAACACTGACTATTTAAACACGGCCACTAGTAGTACAACTACTGCTACAGCCGCTGCTGTTGCTTACTACTACTGCTGCTGCTGCTGCTGCTACTACTACTAATACCACCACTATTTCTACTGTTACTACCACCACTACTACTTCTACTATTGCAACTACTACAACTACTACTGCTACTGCTGCTACTACTTCTACTGCTACAACTTCATAAAAGCAAAAGTAGTAATTGTTGTACTAGTCTTCTTTTCTTCCCCCACCTCCTCTCACTTGTAACATTTGTTTATTCATTGCCTTGCTGTAACGTGTGCTGCTGTTTACTTTCAGCATGATCACGAGTTTATGGATCAGGTGCTGGAGGCAGCCTTTCACAGGGAGCAGTCTGACCTGATGAAGGAGTCGGTGGTCACACATGTCTGTGAGGACGGGACACGTCACACACACACTGATAGAACTGTTCTAGGTGTTCTCGAAGTGAGTGAATGTTTTGAGATTCGTTTTATGAATGAGTTGTCAGCATCAATTTGGCTTTCTAATTGTTTTGTTCTTGTTCAACATTCGTGTGCCTTATATTGGGCTCAAGTGTACGCATTATTTGACAGTTCTCACTTTTAATGTTTAATGTGTTGTTTGTTGATAAGTAATTAGTGAGTGGTATCCTCGCACAACTCTAGACAAATCAATACGTATGTCAATCTTTCCTCAATAGTTTAAGTATAAAAGATAAATATGTTTGTTCTGTGTTGATAAATGGAACATCATATGCCTTAGCGACATGTTCATACCTGAAGCTGGATTTTGTGCCCTAATGTCTACCATCCAATATAGTGTTAGAGATTAATGGCACTTGCTGTATATATCTTCACGATGTGTGTCACGCATGGCTTTCGTGGACACAAAAACCATCAAATATAGAGGTTTTGAAGAGATACTGCGAATGAAAAGAGGGTTCCTGAAAGAAAGAAAAGAGACAACTGAAATATTTTGACTGTATTAAAAGATATAACTCTTTTAAAAACCTTCCTTAGGGGAAATGTTGAGGGCAAGAGAGCAAGAGGTAGACAATAATGCAAGTGGAAGGACAACATCAAGAGATAGACGAACATTAGTTAGAGAACGTGCATATCAAGACAAGAGACAGCGAGTGTTGAAGATCTAATGCAGCCAAGATTCATACATGCAAATGTATATTAAGTTCTAAGTCTATCTAGATAATTTTCCACGCCTGGTATATAACAAACCTGTTGCCAGAATTTAGTATGCTCTGAATAACTATAAAAAAAAGATTACAAGCATACGCATACATGTTATTCTTCTTGGTACATACGATGAACGGGCAGATCACATAGAATGTGTTCTTTGGAGCAATAACAAGTTTGGGTCATTGATGAGACCCAGTGTAACCATGTACTGCTAGGGCTCATAAAGGAAGTAAAGAATAGGAATAATGTAACCTACCATGCGTGTCTAGCGGCGTGCGTGGCTAAGGCGTTGCGAGTCCGACTCGTATTTCCAACGTACCGCGATCGAAACCCACTGCTGGCTGCGTGGAATTTTATCATGGTATGGGGCGTCGCAGATCGACCAAGCCTAAAATGGGGATCAGGATGTATTTCCTGGGGAAGTAAAGACGGCCGGTGTAACGCTGACCACATTACCCACCTAGTGCCGATTGGTTTGTAAAAATATGGGTGCTCTTCCCATATGCACGATGCACTTAAAGGTGTAATAATGGATCTTTACCTACTTTTACCATGGGTGTCAAAGAGGCACCTAAGGAGTGTTAGCTTGGAAATGGTCTTATAATCCCATGGAGACATTTAGCTGTGAAATCCACCTAGTCATGAAAAAGGCTTGGCATAAGTATATTGAGGACCAAAGGAGATGAAAAGCAGAAAAAGAAGAAAAAGAAAAATGCCAAATTGGTATACATCAACTTTTTCCACTCTTCCTCCAGTTACTTAATTGACATGTTGGAGAAAGGGAGTTAGGGAAAGAAATATGTAAAAATAATCTTTTGAAAGCATTGCATAAGCTGATTTTCCTTTCTTTAATGTTGATTTTGACTCCATTGTTCTAATTTCTTCACTTTCAATGTTATCTCTGCTGGAATCTTTGGCAGCTTTCATCTCCGATGGTAAGAACATGTGGTAATTGTTATTTTATCCTCTGTTGGTCGATTCATGAAAACTTATTTGGAAGCTGCAGAGATGTGGTTTTGTAAAGGAATGATAATAGCCTGGACAGATAAAAAGGGTCATGAAGATGTCTTGAAAGAAACTGGCTCATGAAGAGAACTAGTTGCCCACATCAGAATAATACAATTTAATTCTGTGGTCATGTGATGAGAAGGAGACAACTGGAGTACTTCGTGACAGTAGGAAAGTGAGAGGGGAAGTTAGGCAAAGGGAGACCAAGAGAAAAGATGCTAGACAGTTTGACATCATGGCATGGAGGATCAACTGTGTCAAAACTGACTGAAAGTACATAGACAAAAGGTTATGGATAGACATGACTACCAACGCCACGCAGTATGGACTTTAGGAAGAAGAATTATTATCCTTTACATGCTCAGCAGTGTTTACTGATAATCTTTCAACAGCTGAGCACCAAATGGATACTCTATGGCAACACACCTTTGCACGTGTCTTCTGGCTTCAGGCTGTTCTCTACGTGGGGATCTCACAACATCCAGAACTTCCTGTCCTATTTTACCCCAAGGATGGTGTCTGAGATGTTGTCAGATGTTTTCAAGATATCCCCAAATGGACCCCTACTTCTTAGAGAAGGTAAGTTCTTTTAGTAAGCCCAATACATTTAAGAACTTAAATGTATTGTCTTGTGGAATGTAGGCTTTGTAATGTAATTTTTTTAGAAATGATGAAATCTAAGAGTAGTAGCAACATTAGATTTTATGAAAAAACCCACAAGTGAAATGATTTGGCCATTCAACTTGGTCATCACAATACTTCATTCCCCACTAAGCAATAATGTAAAGGCCACGATGAAATGAATTAGATGCCAAACATGCAAATAGTGAGCAGAGTGCAAATAGTGGGCAGAGTGCAAATAGTGGGCAGAGTGCAAATAGTGGGCAGAGTGCAAATAGTGGGCAGAGTGCAAATAGTGGGCAGAGAGACTAACAGAGACCCTGGAAAACTCAGAGTTAAACAACAAAAAAAACAATATAGTTGTAGACTGGTGAGTAATTAGGTGAAAGACAAGATATATATTCTCCACAAATAGTGACCAAAAAAACACATTTTTTTCCTATTATAATTAACAGCTTGTTTTAAATATGTCACAATATAAACTGATATCGTTTATATTTGTAATCCAGGTTTCAGGATCCTTTGTAAACAAAGGTACACACAAACTTATTATGAGTGTGCTCAAGTTGTACAAGGCAATGTTACCAAATGTGTGAGCAACACCCACAATTCCTTGCTGGTGCGCAATGTAGGCTTGCTTCTTGAGGAGTTCAAGGAGTGTATACCAACAGATGAGGGTGAAGCTGTTCGATTCTGCTATGCTGTATTAAACCACCTACGCTTTTCTGACTTGCCAGGAGATATAGTAAGTCTTGATTTGTTTTCGTTTCCAATATTATTGAATTATTTTTACCTCAGCAAAGAGTTGAGGTAGCACAGTGATAAACATGTCTGCATGCTGGTCTAACAGTCGTGTGTTTGAATCCACAATGAGATTGACCTGGACTCCCAGGTCAACCCAAATGCTCTGGAAAATACTGCTTGCTTCACCTAGCATTAGGTTCTGTTGTCATGCTACTACTATTTATGCTGCTACTGCTGCGGCTACTACTACTGCTGGTTCTGCTGCGGCTACCTCTTATGACTCCTACCATTGTAAAATTTCAGAATTGATCATGTGTGCGACTGCTGATTTGTTGGTTACTCCGTTACTGTCGAGGATGAAGTGCATTTCTAATGTCGGACTGTTTGTGTTAGCACTTCTGATGGCTACAGTATGCTTTTAATGCATGTGTATGCTAGTGTATATGCTGAGACGGCAGTCTGTCAATCTTTCCACAAGGGACTGTGATGAACACATGTGTGTTTTTCATTGGCATAGGAGCAGAGCAACTATGGGGTGACCCGTTTGCTATAAAGCTGAAACTAACATTACCATTACCATTACCATATTTTAAAATGTTGAGGTAGCATATTGGAATTCAACAACAGCAGCAGTACTAGCTACCAGTATCATTGCCAGTATCACTGCTGCTGCTACTTCTTCTATTCCAGTAACAACCACTGTCACCAGAACTACTATTACTGTTACTGCTGCTGCTACTGGTGTTACTGCCACCACTAATAGTACCACTGCTATTATTGTCACTGTGCCTGATAATACTACAAATATTATTTCTCAGTGTTGAGATAGCACTGCTGGTATTAAGTAACTGCAATAGCAGCAGTAGTAGTGGCAACAGTATATAGTTTGTATGTGAGTAGTAGTGGTGCTGGGATCACCATGGGCTGTGCTAGTGATAATGTTAGCTGTGGCACTGGTTGTAGAAGTTTTCATTTAAAAAACAATGATACTAGTTGAGGCATAGGTAACAATAGTTGTGTCTGTCATGGTGGAAGTGTAGATAGTAACAGAATAGGTTACTTTTATTCACCTTCTCTACCTTTATAAAAAAAATAAAGGTTTATCATATGACCTCATGGCTAATGATCAGCTTGGCTTCCTTCCAAATGACAGAACACTGTTGACTATATGGATGACATTGCCAGGATTCTCAGTGTTGTGTGGAAGCTGCATCATCAAGTGGTCTTGGCCAGGTGCCTGTACTTCATCTTCTGTATTATCTCGGCACCCAGATCAGACAAGCTAGCTTACCCATCATGTTGCCTGGCAGCTGTTGTCAGATACATTCCTATGGAGATAGCTAATCTGGTATGTAAAATTGGGTGAGATGTTTATTGGTATAAAAGATGGACTAGAGTAAATCGTGCAACTTAAATCTGAAAGAAAGAAGATATCGGTTACATCTTGAAAATAAGGCTAAGAATTGTTTTTAAAAAAGTGACAGTTTATATTTTTGAAAGGCAAACGCTTAAATTAAAAAGTGGCAGGACTATTTTTGTAAATTGAAACTTTATTATCTAATATAAAAATTAAAGAATCATAAGTTAGATATGTAAGCTTGAGATCAATAATTATAAAGTCTTTTTGATAAAATTGTTAGGGCACTCATCAAAATACCAGGGGTCCTGGATTTGAGTCTCATTAATGGCTATACTTGACTATGTGGGTGTAACTCTAGTTAGTCAAACTTCTTGAAATGAGTACTTTGGATCTGGGCAAGGGGAAAAAAAGCTAGTTGCATATCGTTACAGGACGTTGCAGAACCAACCCCAGCATTTTTTGGCTGTTGTGGTTTTTCTAGGCAAATTTTACACTCAGTAGTTTGCCATTGCTTTAGGCAAGAAAAAGAAATCATTATACTTATAACATAGTCTTAAGTAAAATGTCCTTGGGGTTAAGGTCATGTCTGTTGGCCACTAGAGGAAGTTCAGGGAAAGTCGTGCTGGTGGCAGGGTCAGCCCTAAGGACGGAGAGATGGGAAGATATTTTCAGTCCGGATGTTGTGAGGCTGGTAGGTGAGAATATTTTGAGCACGGATGTTGTGAAAAAAAAAAACATTAACTCGTTTAGCCCCAAGCTAAAAGACAATGCATTAAAACAGTAATGCTGAGATTCAGAGGGACGTAACAGTTTATAATGGAAAGACTAAACATAAACATAAACATTTTAAGTAGCAGCTAGGTTTGAATGGATAAAAGTTTTGTTTTTGAAGATCTGAATGGCTAAGAGAACTGAAAACATTATTGTTATTTGTAACAGGAGAACCTGATCCACAGCTGATGAATTGCTTGTTGATCCACAGCTGATGAATTGCTTGTTGATCCACAGCTGATGAATTGCTTGTTGATCCACAGCTGATGAATTGCTTGTTGATCCACAGCTGATGAATTGCTTGTTGATCCACAGCTGATGAATTGCTTGTTGAGAATAAGCTATCAGAATAATATATCACAACTTTGCAAAAACAACTGGGAGTTATAACTTAAATTTGTGAAGTCAAAAAAGGTAAAAACTGGGAGGTATAACTTAAATTCGTGAAGTCAAAAAATGTGAAAATTGAGAGGTATACCTTTTATTCATTAAGTGAAAAATGGGAGGTATAACCTATATTTATGAAGTGAAAACTGGGATGTATGACCTATATTTATGAAGTGAAAACTGGGATGTATGACCTATATTTATGAAGTGAAAACTGGGAGGTATAACTTATATTTATGAAGTGATAACTGGGAGGTATAACCTATATTTATGAAGTGATAACTGGGAGGTATAACCTATTTTTATGAAGTGAAAACTGGGAGGTATAACCAATATTTATGAAGTGAAAACTGGGAGGTATAACCTATATTTATGAAGTGAAAACTGGGAGGTATAACCTATATTTATGAAGTGAAAACTGGGAGGTATAACTTATATTCATGAAGTGAAAAATGGGAGGTATAACCTATATTTATGAAGTGAAAACTGGGAGGTATAACCTAAATTTATGAAGTGAAAACTGGGAGGTATAACCTATATTTATAAAGTGAAAACTGGGAGGTATAACCTATATTTATGAAGTGAAAACTGGGAGGTATAACCTATATTTATGAAGTGAAAACTGGGAGGTATAACCTATATTTATGAAGTGAAAACTGGGAGGTATAACTTATATTCATGAAGTGAAAACTGGGAGGTATAACTTATATTCATGAAGTGAAAACTGGGAGGTATAACCTATATTTATGAAGTGAAAACTGGAAGGTTTAACTCATATTCATGAAGTGAAAACTGGAAGGTTTAACTTATATTCATGAAGTGAAAACTGGGAGGTATAACTTATATTCATGAAGTGAAAACTGGGAGGTATAACGCATATTCATGAAGTGAAAACTGGGAGGTATAACTTATATTTATGAAGTGAAAACTGGGAGGTATAACTTATATTCATGAAGTGAAAACTGGGAGGTATAACTTATATTTATGAAGTGAAAACTGGGAGGTATAACTTATATTCATGAAGTAAAAACTGTGAGGTATAACTTATATTCATGAAGTGAAAACTTAGATTTTTATCAGTACAACTGGAAGATATAACTTGAATTAATCAAGGCAGATCTTTGAAAATAAAACCATACATGTTTACTGTGATCAAAAACAGGTTGTGAGAGACATAGTGACAGACACTTCTGGCAGTGATGAATCCATTGCCATAGCAGTGAGTCAGATCATAGAGTGGTTGAGATGGCCCTGCATTGAGAACATGGATCTCTGGCTCTTGTGTTTCCTTACTCAGCTGGCAGCTGCCAGGAAGTATGACCTGCTGGCTCACATCACTGAGTTCAACATACGCCAGGTAGGGCTCATGGCTGTTTTTGTTTTAAAATGCTTAATCTTTTGGATTAACGCATATTGAGATAAAAGCACAATTTGTATTAACTTTCTGGTATCAATACTAGACACAGAAAATAAAATTAAAATTAAAAGCATTTTTTTAACAACTTAAATGCAGAATGAAATCTATATGAAATGCAGAGAGAAAAACAAGAAGAAACAGAGTCACCAACAAAAAACTAAGAACTAGGTTAAGCACAGTACTTGTAAGTGATTTCATAGAACATCAAATGATTTAGTTATGTGGTCAGAATGGAACAAAATCAGCCAGCAGCTAGAGCGTATTACATGAGAACAGCAAGCTACAAGCTTAAAGACCATCAAGGAAGAGATGGGTGGAGGACAGAAACACCATTGGACATTAACACAAGCTAGGCAACTAGCACAGGACAGGAAGCTAAATCTAACACCTCTCTGTGACACTCTACAACCTAGGCAAAAGAAGAAGAAAACACATACTTAGAGTAGAATTCTCTTTGTTTTGAGTTTCTATTCTGTTGAAACGAAAGATATTTCTTAATTCTTTCAGTACCAAGTGCAGCTGTACCTAATCCCTTCTATTCTAGTGAACTAAGCTTAAATGTAATTAATACTTAAATTTGAAAGCATTTACTATGGGGTCAGAAGTAGATGTAATAAAAATTAATTCAGACACAAGGGGTTAATTTAACACCTGTCTGTGACAGAAAATAGCAAGAAAATTGAGAACTTTGGAATGCCCAAGAAAATTGTGATATGCTGATTGGTATAGAAAGAGTTATATTTAATAACAAATGAGAAGGTAAAATAACGTTTGGGTAGTGGACATGTGGTGTTTAAGGAGGTTGTTCACAACACTGAGGACATGAAAGTTAGCAAACACCAAGTACTGTCAAATGCATCTGTCCCAAGATTACTAATCAGAACCATCAGGAAAGGTATGTTGGTTCATGCAGAATAATTCACTTTGTATGAACTATGTACACTAATTTATAGCAAGCAATAAAATTAATAAAATATGTGAAAATCTACAAAAAATATTCCTGTATGTATTTCAGCTGGCTAATAATTTGTTGGAAGACTCCCCATCCTTGTGGCATGCCTCCTTCACCATTCTCTCCCATTTGCTGTTGAGTTTCCAACACTCACCTGGACCTTTTCACCAAGTAAGTGACGAGGAAATGATATTGGTTAATTTACTTTGTCATTAAAAAGGGTTCACATTCCTGTAAAAGAGGTGTTTTTAATATGTTAGAGAACACAAGCTGTGCAACAAGTGAAAGACAGAAAACTGCATACATTTTCTCTCTGCAATGCTTTGCCATATTAGCATTAGGACAAAAGAAGAAGAAAAAAAAAGAACAGATGAAAAATCTCTAGACTGAGAACTAAACTTCAAAACTAAGAAGCCCGTTATTTGGATTTTATATTTCCAGTAATTCTTAACACATTTTCTACTGATATCTGTATTTAATTTTCTCCAGCTTATACGTTTTAAATTCGTTGTCTATCACTTAGATGCCAGCTTTAAGAAAAAAACCATTGTTACTTAGCCTCTTCCAATTCTGTGACGTGAGCTTTGAAAGTAGTTAATAATTAGATCTAACGGCATTGAGCAGAAACACCATGGGGTCAGAAATCGATGTACTACATCTAATTAAGACACAGGGGGTTAATTAACACCTGTCTATGATAAAAGATAGCAAGAAAGCTAAGATTCTTAAAACTTAATGTTTACCACAAAATGACAGAAACATGATGATAACCCTTGAGGTTTTGGGTAGAAAATGCCAAAGCTGGTTACGGTGATCTGAATGATCAAAATATTGATCATCACAACTATTGAAATGTGAACATTTTCTGTTTCGCACAAAAGCTAATGTAAAATAATAATTGTTGGGTAAGAATGAGTTAATATAATATATAACAATGGCAAGCAAAGTTAACAACTGTTTAACACAGAAAGAAGTGAGTGTTGCTAAGGGCTTATGATTGTATGGTCATAGTTCTAAAGTACTATTTTTAGTTTAGTTTTATCAAACCTTACTGACTGACCCATGTATGTTTGTTTCTGTCTGCTGTTTTACTATTATATTTTTTTTGCAATTACCTGTGTCCTACAGATGTTTTATTATTGTCAGCTGAACAATTTTAATATTTTAACAGTGCTTACTGTTTGAACTGTGACTGTTTTGTACCTGTTTGATTTAAGTCTTTTGATCTAACACAGTGTCTGGATACAATGGCTGCTGCCATAGAGAAGCTGAGGAAGACTTCAGGACTGGAGCCTGGAACCCCTCTCAATCAGTTGGCGATGCTTATCTATTGTTTGATGCACCACCACTCAGGTTTTCCTGACTTGTATGAACCTGTCCTGAACCGCATACAGGTAGATAGCCAGTTGTTATATTGATTTGAGGAGTTTTACTATTGTTGCACCTCCCTCTTCTTCATTTTGTTTAGAAAATGTCTCTTTGTTTCTCTCTCTCTCTCTCTCTCTCTCTCTCTCTCTCTCTCTCTCTCTCTCTCTCTCTCTGTGTTTCTCTGAGAAAGTATGTCTGTTAGTGTGTATCACACAGTTACTGCACACCTGAATAAAGTTTGTTAATTCTGTCTATCTTTCTCTCCTAACTATTTTTTAAAATCCACCTCACTATCTTTGAAGATATAGATAATCTATTTCAAGCAAACGAAAGAAGAAGAAGAAGAAGAAGAAGACTATCTTTATATCCATTTCTGTCCATTTGCCAGTCTCGATCTATCTGTATAAGCTTACTCTTTATCATTATTTAATTATTTCTACTCTTTGTCTTATAATGTAACTACCTTGGAATCTATCTTTTTTTTTTTTTCAATTCCCCCCCCCCCCCCCATTACTCTTCAACTAAAGCTTGTGAATGACGCTTGCTTTTGATAATACCACTACAGGGCATCCCTCCTCCTACATCTGAGCTGATGAATTCAATTCTGGACAGTGCCAGATGGACATCAGAGTCTGATGATTGCCAACTCATAGAAGAGATTGTACCCAGTTCATCTCTGTCCTCAACCAAACAGAAAAAGCTAGAGCCAGGAAAGACAGGGCTGGTCAATTTGGGCAACACCTGCTACATGAACAGTGTGATACAGTCACTGTACATGTGTGATCAGTGAGTGGCTTTATAGACTTAGGAGGTTGTGTGTGAGTAATACATTCACTGTACATGTGTGATCAGTGAGTCTTAGGTTGTGTGTGAGTAATACATTCACTGTACATGTGTGATCAGTGAGTGGCTTTATAGACTTAGGAGGTTGTGTGTAAGTAATACATTATCTGTACATGTGTGATCAGTGAGTATCTTTATAGACTTAGGAGGTTGTGTGTGAGAGGTTGTGTGTGAGAAATACATTCCCTGTACATGTGTGATCAGTGAGTATCCTTATAGACTTAGGAGGTTGTGTGTGAGTAATACATTCACTGTACATGTGTGATCAGTGAGTATCTTTATAGACTTAGGATGTTGCGTGTGAGAGGTTGTGTGTGAGAAATACATTCCCTCTACATGTGTGATCAGTGAGTATCTTTATAGACTTCGGAGGTTGTGTGTGAGTAATACATTCACTGTACATGTGTGATCAGTGAGTATCTTATAAACTTAGGAGGTTGTGTGTGAGAGGTTGTGTGTGAGAAATACATTCCATCTACATGTGTGATCAGTGAGTATCTTTATAGACTTAGGAGGTTGTGTGTGAGTAATACATTCACTGTACATTTGTGATCAGTGAGTATCTTATAAACTTAGGAGGTTGTGTGTGAGAGGCTGTGTGTGAGAAATACATTCCCTCTACATGTGTGATCAGTGAGTATCTTTATAGACTTAGGAGGTTGTGTGTGAGTAATACATTCACTGTATATGTGTGATCAGTGAGTATCTTTATAGACTTAGGAGGTTGTGTGTGAGTAATACATGCCCTGTACATGTGTGATCAGTGAGTATCTTTATAGACTTAGGAGGTTGTGTGTGAGTAATACATTCACTGTATATGTGTGATCAGTGAGTATCTTTATAGACTTAGGAGGTTGTGTGTGAGAGGTTGTGTGTGAGTAATACATTCCCTGTACATGTGTGATCAGTGAGCGTCTTTATAGACATAGGAGGCTGTGTGTGAGTAATACATTCACTGTACATGTGTGACCAGAGAGTGGCTTTATATTAGGTTGTGTGTGAGTAATACAGTCACTGTATATGTGTGATACATTTACTTTACATGTGTGATCAGTAAGTGTGTTTTATATAGTTTTATGAGTGTGTGTGTGTGTATGTGAGAGAGAGAGAGAGAGAGAGAGAGAGAGAGAGAGAGAGAGAGAGAGAGAGAGAGAGATACATTCATTGTACATGTTCAGTTAGTGGGTTTTATAGTTTTAGGCACTGTATGCATATGTTTGTGTGTATGTGTGTGTTTGTATGTGTTTGTGTGTATGTGATACAGTCACAGAGGTGGTGTGACTAGTAAATAAGTTTGTACTCCTAATGATGAGTGTATATGCATGTGTGCATAAATGTATGAGTAACTGTACATGTGTGTGTATGTGTGTTCATATTAGATTTGAGTGAGTTTGTGCTGACACATGGTGTGTTTGTGCATGTCACTATTGATATTACTTAAAAAAAAATTTTTTTTAATAGTATCATGGAAGAAGGTCAAGGAAACTTTTAACACCACTGGCATGTCAGGCACATAATGCTAGACATATAATTTTTATTTAGTAAATAAGCCTTCAGAGAGTGATGTGGTCAATAAGTCCTCAGAGAGTGATGTGGTCAATAAGCCTTCAGAGAGTGATGTGGTCAATGAGTCCTCAGAGAGTGATGTGGTCAATAAGTCCTTAGAGAGTGATGTGGTCAATAAGTCCTCAGAGAGTGATGTGGTCAATAAGCCTTCAGTGAGTGATGTGGTCAATAAGCCTTCATAGAGTGATGTGGTCAATAAGCCCTCAGAGAGTGATGTGGTCAATAAGCCTTTAGAGAGTGATGTGGTCAATAAGCCTTCATAGAGTGATGTGGTCAAAAAGCCCTCAGAGAGTGATGTGGTCAATAAGCCATCAGAGAGTGATGTGGTCAATAAGCCTTCAGAGAGTGATGTGGTCAATAAACCCTCAGAGAGTGATGTGGTCAATAAGCCCTCAGAGAGTGATGTGGTCAATAAGCCATCAGAGAGTGATGTGGTCAATAAGCCCTCAGAGAGTGATGTGGTCCATAAACCCTCAGAGAGTGATGTGGTCAATAAGCCCTCAGTGAGTGATGTGGTCAATAAGCCTTCAGAGAGTGATGGGGTCAATAAGCCATCAGAGAGTGATGTGGTCAATAAGCCATCAGAGAGTGATGTGGTCAATAAGCCATCAGAGAGTGATGTGGTCAATAAGCCCTCAGAGAGTGATGTGGTCCATAAACCCTCAGAGAGTGATGTGGTCAATAAGCCCTCAGTGAGTGATGTGGTCAATAAGCCTTCAGAGAGTGATGGGGTCAATAAGCCATCAGAGAGTGATGTGGTCAATAAGCCATCAGAGAGTGATGTGGTCAATAAGCCATCAGAGAGTGATGTGGTCAATAAGCCTTCAGTGAGTGATGTGGTCAATAAGCCTTCAGTGAGTGATGTGGTCAATAAGCCTTCAGTGATGTGAATAAGCCTTCAGTGAGTGTGTGGTCAATAAGCCTTCAGTGAGTGATGTGGTCAATAAGCCTTCAGTGAGTGATGTGGTCAATAAGCCTTCAGTGACTGATGTGGTCAATAAGCCTTCAGAGAGTGATGTGGTCAATAAGCCTTCAGTGAGTGATGTGGTCAATAAGCCTTCAGTGAGTGATGTGGTCAATAAGCCTTCAGTGAGTGATGTGGTCAATAAGCCTTCAGTGAGTGATGTGGTCAATAAGCCTTCAGTGAGTGATGTGGTCAATAAGCCTTCAGTGAGTGATGTGGTCAATAAGCCTTCAGTGAGTGATGTGGTCAATAAGCCTTCAGTGAGTGATGTGGTCAATAAGCCTTCAGTGAGTGATGTGGTCAATAAGCCTTCAGTGAGTGATGTGGTCAATAAGCCTTCAGTGAGTGATGTGGTCAATAAGCCTTCAGTGAGTGATGTGGTCAATAAGCCTTCAGTTGAGTGATGTGGTCATTCAGTGAGTGATGTGGTCAATAAGCCTTCAGAGAATGATGTGGTCAATAAGCCCTCAGAGAGTGATGTGGTCAATAAGCCCTCAGTGAGTGATGTGGTCAATAAGCCTTCAGTGAGTGATGTGGTCAATAAGCCTTCAGTGAGTGATGTGGTCAATAAACCCTCAGAGAGTGATGTGGTCAATAAGCCTTCAGAGAGTGATGTGGTCAATAAGCCATCAGAGAGTGATGTGGTCAATAAGCCATCAGAGAGTGATGTGGTCAATAAGCCTTCAGTGAGTGATGTGGTCAATAAGCCTTCAGTGAGTGATGTGGTCAATAAGCCATCAGAGAGTGATGTGGTCAATAAGCCTTCAGTGAGTGATGTGGTCAATAAGCCATCAGAGAGTGATGTGTTCAATAAGCCATCAGAGAGTGATGTGGTCAATAAGCCTTTAGTGAGTGATGTGGTCAATAAGCCTTCAGTGAGTGATGTGGTCAATAAGCCATCAGAGAGTGATGTGGTCAATAAGCCATCAGAGAGTGATGTGTTCAATAAGCCATCAGAGAGTGATGTGGTCAATAAGCCATCAGAGAGTTATGTAGTCAATAAGCCTTCAGTGAGTGTTGTGGTCAATAAGCCATCAGAGAGTGATGTGGTCAATAAGCCATCAGAGAGTGATGTGGTCAATAAGCCATCAGAGAGGGATGTGGTCAATAAGCCTTCAGTGAGTGATGTGGTCAATAAGTCCTCAGAGAGTGATGTGGTCAATAAGCCATCAGAGACTGATGTGGTCAATAAGTCCTCAGAGAGTGATGTGGTCAATAAGCCATCAGAGAGCGATGTGGTCAAAAAGTCCTCAGAGACTGATGTGGTCAATAAGTCCTCAAATACTGATGTGGTCAATAAGTCCTCAGAGACTGATGTGGTCAATAAGTCCTCAGAGACTGATGTGGTCAATAAGTCCTCAGAGAGTGATGTGGTCAATAAGCCCTCAGAGAGTGATGTGGTCAATAACATGCCAGCCAGGTTTTACTTCCCAGACTTAGCCTCATGTCCACTATAGGTTGGGTTGACCTGGGAATAAAAGTTTAAAAAATAAAAATCTTAATCTATATGGATTTAGTTAATTATTATTATTGTTAATTTTAATATTATTATTATTATTAATATTTTTGTTATACTATCACTAGATTCCGCAAAGCTGTGCTCACAAAAACACCACAAGAGAAGGAGAATCTGATGGAAATGTTGCAGCATGCCTTTGCTATTCTCACTTACTCAAATGTAAGTACACAAGGTCATGACCTTGTCTTCTCTCCTTAGCTAATGGAATATTAGTTTACAGTATCATAGTTTTCTCAGTCACTCAGATGTTGATACATAACTCATTAATAGTCAATAGATTCCTTCTCGAGGTCTTATCAGAAGAGATTCTTCCAAGACCATGTTGACACTTAAAAGGTACAAAGTTGTGGAGAGTTAGGTAATGGCTGGTCCATGTTTTTTTTCAGTACACTGATCTTTGTTTACTACCGCCCTCTCTAGGTCTAATTAGCAAAGCCAGATTCTTATTAGACCACATTTATACTGAAGAGGCACACCAAAGCCGTGGAGATTTAAGTACTGATCAGTCCATGTTTCCAGCTCATCAGCAAATTAGACAGGTAGAGAATGGTGCTGTACAGAAATCAGTCAATCAGAAATAAACATTGACTGATCAGTATGTAAATAGATAATGTTTATGTATTTCAAATATATTTTAATTTTTAAGCAACTGGAAATTTCAGAACTTGTCTATTTTATTTCTTCTTCATGTTACCTTATACATGGTACTTCTTGCAAAGATTCATCATTTTCATTATATCCATTACTGGACCATTTATATATATATATATATATATATATATATATATATATATATATATATATATATATATATATATATATATATATATATATATATATATATATATATATATATATATATATATATATATATATATATATATTTATATATGCTAAAGTTCTTAATTTGACCTGATTACATGAACATTTTGTCACTTGAGAAATTATTTTTCTGCCCTAGAGAGAGAGAGAGAGAGACAGACAGACAGACAGACAGACAGACAGACAGACAGACAGACAGACAGACAGACAGACAGACAGACAGACAGACAGACAGACAGACAGTCAGACAGACAGATAGCGGTTGTTGAGGATTTTGCAGTACTAATGTGTAACATTTTTCTGCCTTGGCTGCCATGTTGTTTGCCTTCTATTTGTAATCACTAACAACTGATGATAGTTGCTTGTTCTTCTAAACAACACATCACCAGGTTGCTGGTACAATAGCTGGGTGTTATTATTGTAGCTTGACTCATGTTGATATTTCAGCTATCAAGTCAGTATTGTAGGTTGTTCTTGACATCTTGTGTCTGCTGTCACGCTGGTTGTTCCCTGCCTCTTCTTCTAGGAACCATACTCTCCATCACACTGCCAGTATTATGTTCAAATAAATAATTAAAGCAATTCTTTTTGTAGATGTCTTATTGGGGATATGGTGTTTGGTGCAGATTTGTGATAATTAACAGACATTAGACCACTGACTACCAAGCCCATCAACCCTTGCATTTCCCCAGATACCACATATTTTAGTGTGTACTAAAAATTCCATAGCTTCACAACTATTTGATATAATCTGACAATATTTTTTATTGTTGCACCAAATTGAATGAAGAACGAATTTCTAGAGAAAAAAAGATGTTTGTTTTGTTTTGCATCAGCATCATTTGGCTGAAGATTGGTGCAAAAAGGCAACTGAAAAATCCTTTATATTTATCATAGTCATAGCCATCAAACTGTTTAGTAGTGTCTTCAAATTCACTTTTTGAAGCAAAATCAGGAAAATCACATGCATCATCAGAAACATCAGGAGAAATATGACCACCAGGATGGTTCCAAGAATTTGACGCAATGATGAAAATTGCGTCAATGTCTCATCAACATGGGAGCTAACTGAGAAAATTCGTCAGATATTTACTTTAAGCACTACGAAGCTATTTCCCTTAATTCATCACATAGAAGTGAATTAACATGAAGGCAAGTGTCCAAAGCTACAGTTGCAGGCAGTGCGACTTTGGCGACAAGAAGTAAACATGGCCTCGTCGCATAACGTGCGACGCCGGTAGTCAGTGTTGTAGGGACAAATGACGTAGGAACAGTTGAATGCCAGCGACATACTCTCCCAGATCTCTGGTGTCTGCCCCAAGCTGTATTAATTTGACTAATTTCAGCTGTCCTGCTAAAGAGAGTTGAATCAAAGACACTGGTATTAGTAGGCAAACTTGCTATCCACTTTACCATACAGCTAAATCATGTTAGTAGTATTATTAGTGTCAGACATAGTGATGTTGACAACATGAATCTGTTATATACATTTGTTACCTTTGTGTAGTTCACTTCATGTTTGACAAAGGCTGCCTGCCAAAACATTATTTGCATTCTTTTGTGCACATTTTTCTGCTTCCCAATTTGGTTAAGATTTTTAGTCACATTTTACTGGAATTTCTTGTATTAGCTTGACTGCAGTCACCCTCATATTTCCACCATTTGTTATATGTATAACTGATATAACTTTTTTTGTTCAATTTAGCGGCCTTGCATGACACCCAGTAAGTTTTTAAAGGCATCAAGACCATCCTGGTTCTTGCCAGATCACCAGCAGGACTGCTCCGAGTTCCTCAAGTATTTGTTGAACCAGCTTCATGAAGATGAGACTCTGTCCAACACAGCTCAGAAAAGTCCAACAAATAATAACATCTCCTCAAACAGTGTTTTCAGACGTAATATGAACAAAGTAAGCAAGGCAGAAAGGAAGAAAAGTAATGTTCTCTTAACATCAGTTACAATGAAGATGGAAGAGCTCAAACATTCTAGAAATTCAAGCTTGGACTGCAACAAGAACACTGAGAGTGTGCAGTCTTTGGTGGAACAATATTTTGCAGGGAAAGTCCAGACCACACTAAGGTGCCTTGCTTGTGGACAGAAATCTGTCACTGTTGAAAGCTTTGTAGATATTTCGTTGGCATTTCCAAATTCATCAAGATTAACACCTCATCTTTGCAAGAGCCTGGCTGGAGGCAGTTGCACTTCTTTTGGTGAACAAGAGCCTGAAAGAATGCAGCTGTTTGCTGCAGAGCCAGCAGTCCAGTCTGAAGATGGTTTCTCTTTGAATGATTTGATTTCCTTCTACTTGAAGTCAGAGAAGTTGACAGAGGACAATAAGTATCACTGTGACCAATGCAAAACACTACAGGATGGTGAAAAAAGTCTGCAGATCATTGATTCTCCACAGTATCTTATTCTGACTCTTCTAAGGTTCTCATTCGACTCTAGACTCCAGACAAGAACCAAAATATTTCAGGATGTTTACTATCCTTGTACACTTTCTATCCCTGTTTACAAGCAAGCTTCTTCAAAGGACACAAATATGTGTCTTTCAGAAACACATGCAAGAAATGCCAATAGCTCATCCACAAACAATGTAGCTGGAGTCGCTGACTCACCTCAGAACAAACTTGACAATATTGCCAAACTTCTTGCTCCAAAATGTGACAATGCTAACCAAGAGCCACAGTCTTTTCAACTTTATGGGTTGACTGCTGTGATTGTCCACTCAGGGACATCATCTGAATGTGGGCATTACTACTGCTATGCTCGGCATGCGCAAGATGGCCAGGTTGCTGCTAAACTGTTAGATGAATTGAACAACAACTCAGACAATCTTGACCTGCTTGCAGACAAGTGGTATTGTTTCAATGACAGGAAAGTCTCGAGTTGTACACTAAATTCATTCAGGTAAGCATTTATAATTTCTTCTCTTACTCTTTCTGTCTCTTTATCATCTTCTCAAACATATACATACACAGATAGGTAGGTGAGTTGTACCCCACCAGGACATCACACAAGCGATAAACACCCGGTGACACAAAGTGCCACTATGCAGATGAGGATCACCCATGGAGAAGTCCCAGAAACCCTGTTCAGTCGTTAGGCCATATTTAAGGCCCGGCTATATTTAGGGCTTCCGGCAAAAGCCAGGGTGTGGCTACAAAGTAACTAAAAATTGCATCCCACATGGGGAGGACAACAATTTACATACACAGGTGCACACATATGCTTTAACATTTAGATGAGCAAGTATTACCATAGAAGTGTACGCATGTGTGAATATGTGTGTGTGTGTGCATGCATGTATGTATGTATGCGTGTGTGTGTGCTTGCAAGCACACACATTAATACAGGCATGTACCCTCTGGTTTACTAATTAATTTTGACTCTGAATCAGTTTTCCTCATTTATACCAGACTCAAACAACAGAAACCTTTGTTTTATGGATATGTTATCCACACACAAAAAATCTTCTTTATTTTTTAAAAACTCCACATTTGTTAAACATACTACCCAGGCTAAATGTTCCATTTAGAAATCCAATCCACAAATAAATTTATTGGGAAACAAACATTAGTTCAGTTACCTATCATCTGTTACTGTATGTCTAGTGGCACAAAGCAGGTAGTGACAAAAGAAGAATTCAGAATATTTATAGCAGGTGTCATGCAGTGTGCCGACATTTGGTTGAATGTTAAATTGAGAATTGACATCACATCACTCGGGACATTTCCATATACCCTCTGTCCCCATCTTCAGCAGCAAGCACTGAGTTCCAGTCCTGACTGGCACCACTAACAATCTGATTGTATACCTGTCTCATTTCTCACTTGAGTATTGAGCATCAGTCAGATCCCTGGTAACTCCTCATAGTACCGTTCTGCTGTGACCATGATGATCTTTTTTGTGCTTCAACATTGTTCACTGGCTCCCAAACGACTTTACATGATTCTAGCTTATCATGCATCAGTTCATCACCAAGTGGTGCAGAACCAGCCAGTCCATCTGGCTGTTAATTTCCCAACAAACTGGAATGACCTGCAGAAAATATCCAGAGGACGCTAACTACCCTGAACCTGTGAAGCGAAGCTTGCTACTTTGCACAGAGCAAACACCTCTCTAACTTTCTCAACATGCTCTGAGTATGATTTACAGTCACTACATGTGTGTACAGCTGGTTTTCAAGTACTACGGAGTTTGTGCACTAAGCTGAGATTCCCTCTGTGTGATCTATCCTGGAGACCTGGGCACTTATGGAAGTATCCAGATGTAAGGAAAGTTATTGTTAAACAAAACCAGAAGCACATCAGTGAAATATTTAATGATTGCCTTTAGTATCTGAAACATGGGACTAGGATACACGGTCTCCTTCAGTGTCTGGGACAGGGGACTAGGATACACGGTCTCCTTCAGTGTATGGGACAGGGAGATTAGGATACATGATCTCTTTCAGTGTCTGAGACAGGGAGATTAGGATACATGATCTCTTTCAGTGTCTGAGACAGGGGGATTGAGATACATGATCTCTTTCAGTGTCTGAGACAGGGAGATTGAGATACATGATCTCTTTCAGTGTCTGAGACAGGGGGATTCAGATACATGATCTCTTTCAGTGTCTGAGACAGAGAGATTAGGTTAAATGATCTCCTTCAGTGTCTGAGACAGGGGGATTAAGATATATGATCTCCTTCAGTGTCTGAGACAGGGGGATTAAGGTATATGATCTCCTTCAGTGTCTGAGATAGGTAGATTGAGATATATGGTCTCCTTCAGTGTCTGAGACAGGGGGATTGAGATATATGATCTCCTTCAGTGTCCGAGAGAGGGATATTGAGATATATGATATCCTTTAGTGTCTGAGACAGGTAGATTAAAATATATGGTCTCCTTCAGTGTCTGAGAGAGGGGGATTGAGATATATGGTCTCCTTCTGTGTCTGAGACAAGGGGTTTGAGATATATGGTCTCCTTTGGTGTCTGAGACAAGGGGATTGAGATATATGGTCTCCTTCTGTGTCTGAGACAAGGGGTTTGAGATATATGGTCTCCTTTGGTGTCTGAGACAAGGGGATTGAGATATATGGTTTCCTTCAGTGTCTAAGTCAGGGATATTGAGATGTATGGTCTCCTTCAGTGTCTGAGACAGGGGAATTGAGATATATGATCTCCTTCAGTGTCTGAGACAGGGGGATTGAGATATATGGTCTCCTTTAGTGTCTGAGAGAGAGGGATTGAGATATATGGTCTCCTTCAGTGTCTGAGACAGGGGGATTGAGATATATGGTTTCCTTCAGTGTCTAAGACAGGTAGATTGAGATATATGGTCTCCTTCAGTGTCTGAGACAGGGGGATTGAGATAGATGATCTCCTTTAGTGTCTGAGAGAGGTAGATTGAGATATATGGTCTCCTTCAGTGTCTGAGACAGGGGGATTGAGGTATATGATCTCCTACAGTGACTGAGAGAGGGGGATTGAGATATATGATCTCCTTCAGTGTCTGAGAGAGGTAGATTGAGATATATGGTCTCCTTCAGTGTCTGAGACAGGGGGATTGAGATATATGATCTCCTTCAGTGTCTGAGAGAGGGGGATTGAGATATATGGTCTCCTTCGGTGTCTGAGACAAGGGGATTGAGATATATGGTCTTCTTCAGTGTCTAAGACAGGAAGATTGAGATACAATGTCTCAATCAGCGTCTGGATACGGACATTGAGAAATATGATCTTCTCCATTTTCTGAGACAGGGAGATTGTTAAGCTTGTCCTGAGAATCGTTGTTTACTTTTCCCCCATACCTTCATCACTGAGGTCACACAAATTTACATCTTATAAAAATTATGAAATTATAAACATATGCTAGCCTCTCCTCAATGTATTGTGGTTTGGCGTAGGCCAGTATAGTGTTGTGCTTGCCTGTTAGTCCAAAGATTTTACATACAAATCATTATTGAAGCAGATATGTATAACAGATTTGGGACTCACAAGCCGAGCCAGCCCTAATTGTGTACAAGGAAATATCATGCAAAGTAAAGACAGCTGGTGTAATGGTGACTGACTAGCCTTTCCAAATATAGGTCAAGCACCAATAGCTTCAGATGGGTCCTTTATTTTACTGTTACTGTAAACATACGTGTAGGCAGTTATCTGGCATCTCATTACACACAGCAATAGTCTCAGCATTACTATCAAAGGGAGCTTTTTTTTCAAATGGACTTCTTCTCATAACTGACTGTTCTGTTAGCAACTGAAAGTTTTCTTAACTCTCTTTCTGGTCTTACAGGAATGGGATGAAACAATTCTCCAAGGACACACCCTATGTTCTTATTTACCGAAAACTCAGCGTTGGAAGTCAGAGCAGTGATGCAGATACAGACCCAGTTCTGTCCCCTGGTTTGATGGATGTAGTCATCAAGGATAATGAAGCCTACCTGAAGGTTAGGAAACTTAAAATTTGACTTTAGTTGTAAGGTACAGTTGATTATTCATAAAGTTCTTTTGTGACTCAGAAGGATTTCATGCATCTTGAGGTAGCACAAGAAGATTTTATAAGTTGACTGGGCTCTTTATTCCCAGATGACGTCACAGGACAGTTTAACATTTAAGAGTGTGCGGTAAGACTGGGTTTCCCAGCTTTCTGATGCTTTCAACGACCCCAAAACATCTAGAACTGGCCCTAACCCCAACCCACCTATGTCCCACAAGAGAGTGAAGCCTAGGTCCCAAGAATGCATGCAGCCTAGGTCCTACAACTCTGTGCAGCCTATCTACTGCCCCCTGAAATATTGGACTGTCCCTTGACCTGTGGATTTGCCTTGTTTGGGGTAGGATATTAACGCTTTGAGTACCAGGGGGTTTAGCATCACAGGCCCAAGGGGTAGTCAAAAGAGATGTAAAATCGGCACATCTTGCGTTTATTTGGCTTCTTGTAGGAATCTATGAACGTATGATGCGCTCCTTGGGATTCAAAGAGTTAATAAAGCACCACTGATGGCATTAAAAAAAATTTTTTTACATATTTCTTTGACATTATATGGATGTGAGTCATCGACACATTCAGTGTTACTGAAGATGAAATTGAAGCTTTTAAACTAGAATTCTACAGAAAATTCCTTAGAATACAACTGGTTAAAATATAGAAAATCAGGTGTAATGAGCCAGCACAAACACTGGCTGCTGCCCCTCCTCTTGGTGATAAACTACAATATGATAATGTGGACATGGTGAAACCTCTGTGGGATCAGTAGAACAAGGCAGAAGAGCAGAGTATCCATACTTGTAATGATTGATCCAGCTGGAGGGAAGCAGTCAGTATGTATGAGCTCAGTGCACAGTTAGATACATTTTTAATCAAGTTACAACTAGCACAATCAGTGTCAGTTGAACTCTTCATTGGCTACTGAGGAAAAGGACAGAGCATCTGTGGGAATCTCAGGGGCAGTGATAATAGTTCAGAATTCAGTAATTAATTCACAAGAATAATAGACGCCAGTAACACTTATCTGGAGCTTTTATAGCAGGGATATTTAAGTGGTTGCCCACTTAGTAGTTGTCATGGATCATTGTATTAATGATCTTTCTATACTGGGGCTAGAGTCTTTGGCCCGTGATGATCCTAGTTTTTAAAATGTGGTCACAGAGTAAACTGAGTTAAATAGCCCCGCTTTAGACAATGGAAAATGTTCACATTTCATGGCTATTTTATCTAAAATTGTTGTATCTTATCTACGAATACGACTGGACTTCTGAGTTATTACATTTAACTGTTTCTTATGCTATTACATGACAATGTGCGGAGCTAAAACAAAAGTATTTTTTCTTTGATTAATGTATGATTTTGTAAAAATTTTTATTTACCCATCAGAAACAAGTTCAAATTTATTAGTGAAAATCTAACTAACTGAAATCTTTTTGTTTTTTTGTTTTTTGTTTACATGTATTATTCATTAAAGCATAAGCTTTAGATTTACTGAAGTTGCTGAATCCTCTAATTGTGAACATGTTTTCTGAGTCTTTAGTTTGTTAAAATACTGGTCTTCTTCTTGCATTTATTTAATTAATTGTGTGTATTATTCTGACCAATAGGAACAAGAAGCTCAAGCCAGAATGAAAGAGAAGCGGCAGATTGCAAAATCGTCCCCACTCAACTCTGTTGGTCAGCAGACGTCTCGGGGTAAGGATGGTTATGATGTTGGTAGCACAAACTGGGAACATTTTGAGGAAGAAGAAATGGAGATTGATTTCAGTGAAACTAGATTTATGATTTAGAGGGCTGACCTGAGAATCAAGTATTCTTTTCTATGGTTGGTCTCTCATTAGAGTTAACGTTTCTGCTCTATTGTCAGGTTGGAGATAATTACAATAGAAGTTAATGTTTGTGGTGACATTAAAGAGCACCATATTCTGTTATATGTATTGAGTGACCTGGTGTGAAATCAGCGAACCAGTATTTCTCTTTAAGAGATGAGATAGTTTATCACTGAATCAAGAATTTTGTACAAGGTTGAGTTAGAATGGTGTTAGAGACTGAGGCTAACTGTGTATTCAAGGTTTGGGGTGCCTCCATCAGGACTCCATTTCTTGGGTTAAGTCAGTATATGTGCTTGTAAAATACGTTTTTTTTTATTATTGGTTTGGCTTTACTTTGAGTTCATTTATTTGGATAATTACATGTATTCATGTATTACACAGTCTGGCAATTAAATAATGAGACTCATGTTATTACGGTCAAAACAAAAACACCAACCATGAAGCAAAGCAAGTCATCCAAGCAGGCACCGTTTGTCTATGATCTGACAAAACTGTAATGCTGCTTGGTCAGCAGATGACAAGTAACCTGCCATTTTCTTTAGCTAGTGAAAGTTACAACATTGAGTTTGCAGCATGGAGACAAGTGTAAACTAAATCCTGACAGCTTTTGTAAGATGTACGAACATGTTCTTTCTTCCTACCTGTATCTAGAGAACAGTTACCCTAGTCACATGTTAATGAAATGATAAATGTAGAGGTTTTAGAGTATAAGTTCTAGCCCTTGATTTTGTTGATGATTGATACCCACTTTCCACAGTTTGCCATAAAACATTAATGGTCTGCACCTAGAATATCAGTGCAGACTCTCTTGCTCTTCTCCTTCTCTCATATGTGAGTTGTGTATTGGGTGGGAAGGGGGGTCCGCATTTACATGTGTGTAACATCACTAAGTGTATATATCAGCGAAATTTCAATTTCCTCTCCTCTGTGGAAAAATGAGTAGTGACAAAGAGAAATATGCAGGTATATACTAGACAGCCATAAATTGCTTTATTTGATATAGAATTTACTTTCTTTTTTTTGTGTGTGTTACATTTGGAACATCATTAATTTATTTAAAAAAAATTTTTTAAACATTTATTGTACATTCAACACCCTTTACTTGTAAATTAATTCAGTTCATTTCATTGCTGTTACTATCATGTAAATTCACTGAGTTAATTTCTTATTGTATTTGTTTATTTCATTCTTGACATCATTGCAAATTATTTACTCTCAGTGTAAATGTTATTTGGTAAACTTTTACTTCCAAATCAGTTTTAATGGATTGGATGACCTTTTAATGTTTACACTGAACTGTGAATGTCACACTGGTTTTTGTTTCCTTTTCCTGAATTCAGTGTTTTGTATTTATTTTATATTTAATTATTGTAATATCAATGTTATTTCTGCTGTGATTTCAGATTTTTAAAAAAAAATGGAAATTCAGAGTTTAATTGTTCAGTTTGCTTTATGTATCAGTTATAATACAGGGTGATTAAAATATTTCTAAACTTAACGGTAAGGCATTGAACTTACTTTCCTTAGCAACTTACCTTCCTTAGTCATAATTGTCAGATGTTATACAAATTTCCGCATACCTCTTGTGTAGATCAAGAAGACTAACATATTACATTTCCAAGAATTACCATAAACTGCAGCAAACTAATTGAACTGGCATACAAGTATAAGCTCAACATTCTGTTAGGTATATAGCATTACTCCTAAATGTATAGTTAGCTTGTTAGCTATCAATGGCCTGAAATGTATTCTAACTGGTAAATGAAGTTAGGCTTCAGTATTTGAAAACTCTTTCCCTTCCCTCCCCTGTCTTATCCCCTCTCCTCCCCCTCTAAATATTTGGGGAACTCAAGGTGTGCAAGCACCTATGCACACAGACACACACACACACACGCTTGTAAATACTCACATGCACACACTCACACTGTATATACTCTTATGTGAATGTTAACACTCGATCAAAATCATCCTGTATTATATGGGTTAGCTCTGTTGCAAACAAGCAATATTTCTATCAGACAGACAAGATGAATGGAATACCCATCTGTGACCTAAGAGCAAGGGCAGAAACATTTAAATTAAAAAAGGCAGCATGGGGGTTAAAATAATAATTTTCTGTGCTAATGGGGTGAAGAAGGCATGAAAAGTGCACAAGTAAAATAAGGAGTAACTGATGAAGGTTCATAAAAATGCTTGATGCAGCATGAGTTAACAAATACTTGTATAGTGTATTTTTTATTTATTCTGTTTTGAAATTTTAGTTTCATTTACAACTTCTTTGTACAGATAACATTTATATTTAATATGATGAATTTGTTAATACAAAGTAACTAAGCCTTAATTTCTTTGAGGTGTTGTGTTGTTCTGATCTTGTCTCTTGAATATGTTGCTAAGCCTGCTGGACAGATGGTTTGATCGTTGGCATACCTGTTAATGTGGCATCCATGGCTAAGGCGTTGCGAGTCCGACTCGTAAGCCAGCATACCGCGATCGAAACCCACTGCAGGCTGTGTGGATTTTTGTCGTGGTATGGGACGTCGCAGGTCGACCCAGCCGGCATAATGCTGACCACATTACCCACAGTGCTGAGGTCTGTAAAAATATGGGACGCTCTGCCCATATGCCTGATGTGCCGAAAGGCGTGAAAAGGGATCTTTACTTTTTTTTAAATACCTGTTAATGCTTTAGTCTAGAGGTGGGTGAATGCAAGCAAGGATGTTGTCTTGGAATATAGATGCTGGCTTTAAACAGTGATGCAATTTTCAAACATTGTTGCTTTCAGTTAAAAGAGCTAATTACCAACATAAATACTGGTGCCAAATGAATGAGAAAATCCCAAATATTGCTGGCTCCAAACAAAAGTCCTGGCTGCTAATAGAAGTGATTGCTTTGAACAAGAGTGATGGCTCTATACACATTGCTCTCTAACAGCAAGGATTGTTTATGAAGACTGTAGGAGTTCTGTCAGAAGTTTAACTAAACAAATTCAGTTTTTAGTCATGACAGTATGGGCCTTGTATAAGCTAAGTTTATCATGACTACAGAGGGCATAGTTTCTTATATATATATGTATATATATATATATATATATATATATATATATATATATATATATATATATATATATATATATATATAACATAATTTGAAATGTTGACATAAAAAGCATATATGCTAAATTTTGAAAAGCAGTTCTTTGTTGATATTTCTATAAGAAATTGTGTGAAGAGCAGAAATGTGGATAATGTTTCTTTAATTATGAGAAATTGCTAGAAGCATTTTAGACCTTTTTTTTTTTCATTTATGGAATGCAAAAATTAAGTTTGACTGGATAAGACTAATCCTAGAAGAAATATAGAAACAAAACAAACTGTTAACCGCAACACAAATGAGAAGGTTACTGAGACTTGAGCACAACTTACAGTATAACAGTCTTTTGTAGAATACCATGGAGGAGACCATTTGTGGCAAGCGATGAAAAGATCAGCTACATAATCATTGGTTGTCCAATTACGCTGGGACTTCCTACTAAAGCAGTACCAGCTCTAAAGTCAACAGCAAAGCAGTCACTAACCGGGTGAAGATTGATAGAAAAACTACTAAAACCAGTCCAAATGAAACATTTGCTCATGAGTTATGCTTATTTGTCACGCTCTAGTCAGCTTGAAAAACACCCAAAGTTTGACTGTAGTGGGTATTACATTACACTTCTTAGTGTAATGTAATGAGAACACTGTTTTCAAGTATGACAAGAAATGTAAAATCTGTCATCTCTAACTGATGATGGCACCTTATTCAAGGAACAAGTGTATTTAGACATCCTGATTAGCTAGACACCCTACATGACTAAAACAGTTCCAGTCAAACACTTCCATTTTTACAGTCAAGGTATATGACCTTCAGAATCATGATGAACTCAAGTCACCTGGCACTGGACACAGACAGACAAGTGCAGTTGAATACAACTGTATCCAGTAAAACAAATAGATTTAAAAAAAAACAAGTGGTAAAAAACAGAACCTTGTCTGCCACTGTCAACAACCAATGACACTATATAAAGATGAATTACAAGACATCACATAGGAAACCAGCCAAAACTCACCCCGATCTGACAAAAATAATTAAAAACCTCAGTATTACAATCTGAATAATTACCATCCGAGGTTCATGAGTGAGCTAAATAAATACTTTCCATAAGACAATGGTTTTAAAACAAAGAAAATAAAGACCTTTATTCACACCTTAAAACATATTCAGTGTGTACCAGAATGTTCCATATTTATTTTACAGATGGTTGCTACTCGACAGATAATATGGTCAGTACCAGGCAAACAGACTTTACTTCTTGGAATATTTACTGCCAACCATTTTATGCTAGGTCTATGACATTTTAAAACCATTAAAAAAAAAACCTTGAAAGAGATCTGAACACAAAAAGCACAAGGCAAAAAGGCAGCCATCACTGCTGTACTGAAACTCCAAAAGAAGAAAACAGTGGCATACTAAATGAATCAAGAACATGACCTTAAACATGAATGAGTCCAAATATATACAGACAAGTCTTCAAATGGAATAGTCAAGACAAGATGTGCAATAGTGTAAGTAGTCTACCCCAAGAAATCAAACAAATTAAGCTGTGTACCAGCTTTCTGCCTAAACTGTTATCATGGAGAACTGTACTTAAACATTGCTTCAGAAATAATAATTTTCTTTCCAACAGAAAAAGATGTGATGGTGTTGGCGGGAAAGAGGCGATCAGAAAATGTAAGGTGATGAAGATGGTGGAAAGAAGAAAGAAGAGGAGAAGGGGTAGAACAATTGGATGAAGCAAGAAACTGACATTGTATTTAATGTACAGACAAT